GAGGAGATCCAGTTGGATCGACTGATGCAAAAAAATTCATAGGTTACTGGGCAAACTTGAGAAGACGGTAGTCTTGAAGGTGGCACCCGAGATAGTATTTATAAGATAGCTTTATCATCTCAACAACTTTTATAGTCTGATTCGTCTCAGTGTATTCAATTCATGAAATGTTACTGCGCATTCTTTTGAATGACTGAAATATTCCTCATAAACCTCTTTCAGTTACAAGTAATGAATCTTTGCAGATTCAGCAGCATTCAACAACAAATTGCAGTCCAAAATGTCGTTCAAAAACGTGTTAACTGTGCTTCTGTGCTACTATGCGTGTAGCGGGAGTGCAAAACTGGCGTGTTATGTGTGCAATGGACAATCGGTGAAGTCGGGTGCTTATTGCACTAATGATAATCTCTGTGCTGGAAACAGTTGCACTTTTGGTATGCATAAAGCAGATTATAACTCGAACTTTTGAATTCAGGCATTAGAGATAACTGATATTTTGATGGTTCGTTTACTTAGTGGTCAAAGAGTTCGAATATTGGATATGTTGGCAAAAAATTGCCATTCTTTTATTTGAATACTAGAGGAATTTGAGAAGTTTTGATCATTATTACGAGATCAAATAAGCGATTGTTTCGCTTTTAAGCCAAAAATACATGGATAAGAATTTCGCTTTTTAAACGTCAACACAGGAAAATGTCAGCTTGAAGAAGCGCTGTTAAACTTATTTTCAGATGGGAAACTCTCCGGCGAATGGGCAGCCGGTTGTTCAAATGAAACGATCGGCGCTGGTGTCACTGTTTGCATCATAAAACAAGCCGAACAAAATTTTACATGCAATTGCGGTGATTCGTTCTGCAACGATGTGAATAAAATCACGACCGTTCTCGATAAGCGTCTTCCAAACGGAACGTTCGTTTAGAGTTCTTCATTATTCGGCATCGTCATCACTGTGATCCAATTGCTGTCGGACTGTTCATCATCTATTATGAATGATACATTTTGATAATAAAATAGTGCAAAAAATTGCTTAAATGTTTTCATGTTACCATTTGATCGGAATTCAAATTCGTGGTTTCGGCAATGAATTTGAGATTCAGATTCTTTTCGAATGTGTGAACAAACGAAACAATAATCACTGATTGACTAATCCATCAACATTGAAAGTTCTCTTCTTGAAGGTCATTCGTCCCCAAGCTGCCAACGAACTTGACAAAAAAATGCTTACAATGTGGCCTTTTGAATGTACCTCCAATCGGTGTCATAAATGTAACATGCGGTTTGACAAATACATGTAAAGGATCATTTTGCATTACAAGTGAATTTTATCATTTATTCATTCATCGATAGTGTGACTGTAATGACATCCGACTGATTATGAATCAGTACATTACCAGTCGAGCATCACTGCAGTCACGATTCGATATTTATCAAACATTTTCCGCTCCTTATTTCTCATATCAAAAAAAATTGAATTTCCAAGATCACGGATTCTGAATGGTCTCATTGTCAGCATGAAACAGTGATTTGTGTGTCTGTGAGAAGTATTCGGAAGCAGATTGCAGAACGAGGGCAATACCCGCACTCGTATTGTGGCACAGATTGGAATCCAATGGTCGAAGGATGCGTGTCAAAACCGGACCAAGATGAAGTTTGTGCGTGTATGCAGAACTACTGCAACTTCCCGTATCCTCAACGTGAGCATCATCCTTCACTGCTGGTTTCTCGCTCTTGTTTCGAATTTCAATCGAATGCCAAGTTTCTTTTGCTCCACTTATTTGATCAGTTTTAGAAACCACCACAACCACGGTAACTCCGGCGCCTACCCAACCTCCAACTCCGGCACCTACCAAACCTCCAACTCCGGCCACTACCCTCCCTCCAACTCCGCCACCTACTAAACCTCCAACTCCAGTTATGACAACAAAAACACCTACGGTTGTAACAACACCTGTTCATCCACCTGTCGCTACCACAACAACAGCCTCAGGTTAGTCTCTTGCATCAATGAAAGAGAAACTCAAGGAATAAGTCAAAGTTATGAATAAATATATCTCATATGTCTGCATGAGGATTAAAGTCTACTTTCTCGTTTTTTTCAATCAAAATCAGTAGAAATTGTTTCTCCGAAAAGAATCGATGTCTTTCGATGCTGATCCGTTTACCGAACCCCGATTATGAGTGAAAGCCGATATTAATATCAGGCGGAAGCGTTAATACTAGTGATTGCGTATACGGGCGATTTGGTAAAAACGATCAAATGGTGAAAACTGCGACAGCGTTGAAGAATATGGTCAAGAATCGTTTTGGAAATTCATCAGCCGTTCAGAGCTTCTTGAATAATATTGATCAGCACATCTGTGCTTATTCAGGACCTTAAAACTCTATACGTGTGTCTTTTCGCAATGTTTCCGTGATAGCACCTGTGATCGTTCACATCTGGAATTCAATATTCTTGTTTAAAATGATTCATCGATATGGTGCAAAGTTTCTGTGAGAAATCGGAGCTGTCATCGTCATTCGCTATATCCAATGTATCTGGTCGAATTGAAATGCTTCTAAAGTTATCCTTGCATGCAATAAAGTTGATCTTATCCACATAAATGTTGCCTTCTAATGTTATGCATTTTATAACCACAAAAAATTTGAACTGTTGTCAGGAATATGCCCAGCTTTAAATATCAAAAAATTCCAATAACCTTAATCAGAATGTTCAGACAAGCAATTTCCTTCCTGTTTTCACTTTTGATATGACAGTAGATCAAAAATATTTATGGCGAATGCTATATTCATGAGAAGAAGATTGCTTAATCATTTCTCCACACATGACTTGTCTGCCTAATAGGATTTCTAAGAATGAAAAACATTATAGTACGGGAATCGCATATGATATCATAGTACGGGAAATATGTGAAATGTTCTGATCCAAACTAGTTGTAGAGAGTGTAAAGACGCTATTTGTACCCATCCACCAGTCTTTACACTCTAAATTGAGCATGTTTTGCAGAATGCAATTGAAGTGCAAATCTCATGTAATTTTCTTTAATGTCTTGATTAAAAATTTAAATTCTCTCATTATGTGCATGAATTCATCGTTACAAATTTCAAAAAGCAACGGTGTGAGTGAACATTGTTGAAATCACTTAAAAACCAGTTTGAGAGCATTAACTTTTAATAATTCCATCTGAACGATGTCAATTCCACTCGTTCACTGTTAATGAAGAACAACGTTTCTGGTCTTCAGTTCCTTAATATGAATTCTCAAATTTACGCTTGTTACTTCGTCGTTTCAGTTTTGCTTTCAATGGTCTTTTGTATTTAAGAGTAATAGCAATGATCACAATTGTTGATAAGTTCTCTGATTAGGAAATAATTCATTAAACGTTCGGTGTGGAAACAACTGAGAATTGCATAATGTTTTAGAGCAAAGAGCAATGTAAACTTTTTTAGCAACAACACGCTTCATGGCATCATGAGAATTTTCTCTAATGTATGCTCACAGTCACTTTAATAAATAATTCAGAGATTGCTGAAATTTAAGAGAACGATTCCGTTTCTAATCGAAAAAAGGAAACGTTATTTGCGATCGATTGATACCTGAATCCTCAGAACCACAGTTTTGTGGTGGATTTTAGTTTATGCAAAGCAGATATTGCGCTAGGAAGCCGTTGAATCGAGACATTTTGATCGTATAGGATATAATATCACAATAGAATTTAATTACTTTCATTTGTTAATAGTTCAATTATTACCGCTTTCGCTTTGATCTTTTTGTCTCGTTTGATAAACGCTGACCACTTTTATTATGATGAAGGCATAAATATGTTTATGATCTATGTTTACGACCGATACGATGGTTTCGGTATTTACTGCTTGATTGGAAAAATGATAATGGATCAGTGATGAGCGAGTATAACGGTGATAAGCCGTGAAGAGCCTATCACAAGGGCAGAGTCAGACGAGTTTTTGCATAGCAAACAGTCTGATCAACATCATCGATGCATCTCACGATCAGTTTCAAGCATTCGGCTGCTTAGAAATCTGATGGAAATGTTTCGACTTCGTTGGTTTTATTTCTTCATTGACCTGATTGGTGTGGGCAGATGAATTCAGTGTCGTCCTTAATGAGAACTAAAACAAATGTTTCGTCGCTCTCGATTATTATTCATTCTTTTCTATAACGTTTCAAATATCTTCATTTGAGCGGAGTGAAAAGCAATGGAAGAGAAGAAAGTGCAATCACTTGACGATATTCAGACGCTGGGTTGGTATACGGCATATATTTGCGTGTTGGCTGAGATTATGTTCCTCACACAAGTTGGCAATGTCAACTACATGGTTTATGCAGGTGCTTCATAAACCCAGATTATATTCAACTAGAAAAAATTTACTGTACGTCAGTCAATTTTTTAAGTGTTTCTGCGACAAGAACCAAATTGATATGGATGAAATTGACGATTGAATTGAGAATTGCAGTGAACGATGGCGATTTTTTTTTCTGTTTTGATTACATTGATTCTTTTCTCAACTGAATGAACACTGATAATTGTCAGTCGTTATGACATCTTGCAGAGATTACATACTCGTTTTTTGGTGGATTCACGAGATCCTCGAACCTTTAGTTTCCAGTTCTCAGATAACATTGGCCAGAGTTTTTCGTTAACGTAACCAAAAGTGGTTTGAATTGTTGACAATTATTCCGATTACATATCTCAGGATTGGCTCCGCATAACGTTGATTGCGATACACTAAACAATTCAACAATCACAATCAAAAATGAGACGATCTGTGATTTTCTCAGTTCATCCACCGTTGATTCTCAGACCGATAATCAGAGCTTATTCAACTGCATCAATAATTTAACTCTCATACGGGAACCACAATTTTTCTCGGCAAATATTGAGGTTTGTTTTTGATCGACGAAGTTCAACTAGAGTGAAGGCAGTTGAATGATAATGCGAGCAAGTTTCTGATCCATTCTGGAACGGACAAAATTAAAGGCTGCAGATGCTGGAATTGTTGTTGATTTGGGAGACGACTGCTAATTAACGAGAGCTATTGAACTTTTGTTAAATTCGACATAACGTTGTATTCGTTACGTTCGAGAAGTATACTGAATGCAGACTTCCCAGGCAATACTTCTTCTGATGGTTTCGCATTAAACTTTCTTACCATAAGGATTTGATTATCACAAAGTACAGTTGATTAAAAGTTCACTCATCGGAAAATATTCTTTGCTTGCGTTTGTGATAAGGCGCATTGCAGTGTAGTTTGGCTATTTATGTGATGATACGAAATTCATCAAAAGGAGCATATCCTATCAAATGATCGGCATTATCGTTGGTTCGATTCTATTCGGTCAACTGAGCGATTCGTTCGGCCGAAAATGGGTGGGTATTCATGATTTATTACTCGATGAACTGCATTGAACTTTCGAGAGTTCATCAGAAACACTCAAAATTTTGATTTGATTGATAATTTTGAAAGAAGCAATGTCTTAAGAATAATTCAGCTTTTCAATGTAGAATTTCACAAGCTGCATTCATTCATATCGTCAATACAAGTTGATCTTTTTAAACGTCGATAAATTTTTGCAATTGTATCAACTCGAGTTATTTTTCTCGGAAAGTTTATCTTCACTAAATTCAGTCTTGAGTCAGTTTCAGCCAATGATCATATGTCTGATTGGTTCGGCTATAAGTGATAGTGTTTCGTCTTTGGCCACCAGTCTACCAACTCTAACGCTATTCCATGGTATTGCACTTCTTTTCACCGGAGGGCAAACAGCGTAGAGTTTTTTGAATCTTGTTTCTTTATTCATTCTCAGTTTCAATTCATTAATTCCCGGTATTCCGTTTTCTGTTCCAGTTTGACCTAATCTGGTTGTGTTCTAATCAGCTGATCAAGTCAACTGATCTAATCTGGAGTAGGAAACGAGCGATTGAAATTTCATCATTTAAGGAGTTTGCAATAATGCATCAGCAAACTCGCTCGAGCGTTAAATTCCATCGCAATGACTTAGAAAGGAATGCGTTCCAAATTACAATCGCTCTAAAAACATCACAAATGAATTTTGCTTGTCATTTTATAATGTTGTCTTCTTATCACTATGTGCTATCTTACGATGTTAATTACATCTGACAATTCAAAAATAGTGCAAATAAACATCACAAATGCAATTAAAATTTTATAACGACCAAAAATTGTTACTCTTTGATTCAAATAAACAAACATATCTGCTTTTTTACGGCATAATCGAAAAGTACGAATCTTCGTCCACTAAATCAAATATTCGAATGTGACAGACAGTTAATTTGATTGACATACATTTAAATGGCTGAGAGCATTGTTGAGGGATGTAATGAAGTCATTCTTGGATCAGTTTGTTTCAATTCAGGATAATCTTCGTGTTCCTATTGGAGAATCTGCCCAAAAAACATCGAATGTGGATCAACGCTGTGATTTCGTGGTCACCAAATTTCGCACTGTTCGCTATCATAGCATATTTGTCCGGAAATTGGCGTATTCTTGCAAGAGCCACTAGTACGATAACAGTGCCGGCAATTTTGTTATCTCTGTAAGTTGATGTGTAATCATCAAAAGATGATTTTCACTTGAGGTTTTGTTTGCGATTTTATGCAGTAAGAACGTAAACAGTGAATAATTTATGCTCATTGCACTGTCCTTATGCAGTGCTCAGAACATAATTTTCATAAACTTCAATCACGAACTATTAATGTGTATGAAAGACTGCTCACTTCAATGAATATATCTCCATTTCACATCTTAAAACTATTGAAATCGCAAGTGACCAGACTCACAATCAGATCTAACCAGTCTTCAGTTGGATGCAAATTTTTGTCGTGCATAATGCCAGCTTTCATAGTTGGTGTGGTCTGCGGTCAATGTGATTTCTCGTCTCTGAGTGATTTTGGTTCAGATTCATTTACGAATCCCCGCGTTGGCTCATTCAGAAACGCCGAATGAATGAGGCGAGTGAAGTACTCAAAAAGATCATCATGTTCAATGGTGATCGACACATTTCCAACGAAAACATTTCAACAGTGATTTCGAATGAAAATGTTCGTTTGTCTTTCGGCAGCATCATCCGTATCTTTTCAATCTTATCATCAACCGCAGTTCTAACGATACTGAACGCACGGACCACTTAGAGGGCGATTAAACCAGGATAACTTTCTCGGTTGTGGAGAAATTGGCCTCGGGGCGATTCTCGATCTGAGTTAGATCAATGCTGAGTAGATATTTGAGTCGTGTAGATCACAAACCAAAGCAGTACCCTTTTTGGACTATTTTTTTGAATATGAGGAAGATAACCAATCAAACTTATCTTCCAGGCATCCATTGCAGTATCGGGGAGGAAAGAGAATTTTTATGTGTATCACCTTTTCTGTACGAAACGACTCATACTCTACACATTTGTCTTCTCATTCAGTTAGTATGTGTTTTAGTATAATTCAATTGGTTATGTTTCGTTTTCCATATTTCATTGTCAACTTAATTCTACCTTTAGATAAGTCTCCGCAATTGAAATTATTGTTTACAGCGCTTCAACAAGCATCATAAACTACGGTATATTTTTCAACATGGGCAAACTACCGGGTTCTGTATATGCGAACAATATCTTCATTGGACTCACAAGGTTGCATCACCAATTCTTTATTGGCTTTCACAAAATCGTTATTTAGGAATGATTTCAATTCTTCATCTCTTCAAACATTCAGCCAAAACGTGAATTGATACTCGTAATTCACGAGCGTTCGTCGTGATCGGCCAGTTTTATGTTCAAAATTTTAACAATAAGTAAACAACAAGAAATGCGATTGCGCGGAAGTTTGCAAGAAGCTGTATGCAATGAGGAAATCACCCCGTAAAATGATCGATTAACAATAGTGATTTGAGGTGGGTTATCAACGCGTCGGTTGGATTCGTTGACTATAAAGTGAAATGGTTCGGACGAAAAATGCTTCACACTTTATCGTTGCTGAGCATTCTGCTCGCAGTGATCACAGTGTTCATGCTCACACAATTCGGTTAGATAAATCATTATCGAATGGAAGGAACACTTCTTCTATGCTAACTCTTGAAAGTTTATGAAATTTTGATCGAACATTCGTTTACTTTATATCTTTGGCGGAGATAATCGGAAATGAACATCTCACAGGTCGTTCCTTGTATAGCTCAGATAAGATGAGGATAATTTCGACGGTTTGAGATTGCCTTCAGCTGCCTGAGAGTACGGATAGCAAGTAACGATAACAGTGACATTTCTTGATGAAACGAGACATTAATGTGACCGTAATGAAATTGAACTGCTGAGTGAATGAAATGAACAGAGAAGAGTAAACTTTCAGAGATGTTCGAGCAATACGCAACATTGATTCGTGTGTCAGTGCTATCGATTTCGATAATGTCAAGTCACTTGTACATAGGCAATAACGTCTCAACCAACGAGCTATACCCGACCCCAATCCGAAACGTCGCATTCTCATTCATGCAAGTCGTGAATCGAATCGGTGTTGCAATAGCACCACAACTATTTGTTTTAGTTTGTATTTATCATTTCAATATCGCTGCTTACCGTATTCTTCAGACAGTATATATAGTGATCGAACCGTGAACAACTGCGATTGTTTACTCATAAAAGTATTGCAATTGAAATCGGAGTGGGACGGCACTTCTAAATTTAGTTTCATTCTCCTTATGGTTTGTGTTCAGCTTTCCAACAGTTTCGTTTGAGAAAAGACGAATCGTTCACTGAGCACATGCTGAATGGACGGTGCCAATAGAGACAATTCGGCACAAGCTTTGCCTTGAATTAAACTTATTGCCTCAGCAGGCATGAAATTTTTGGAGGTGAATAAGAAATCCTAGAACACCTCGAATTTGTAAAACTTTCACTTTAGGCTGACTTCTGGACAGCAGCACCGTATTTTGCGATGTTTCTGTTGGCTGGAACAGATCTTTTGTTGTGTCAGTTGTTGATACCGGAATCAAAAGGACGGACGCTTGAGGACAGCATGCCGTCGTCAAAACGAAGGCTGTTTTCTTCGAAGAATGCTGCGAACAAAGAAGATAATTTTAAATACGTTAGCAATAAAAATGACAAATACATCGTTGAATCCAACGTATAATAATCAGCGTTTGTGGCACACTCGATTCCGAATATACACCTTCAATTGGTCAGCAGATAAACATTCACATTTTCATTCAATTCACTCATGTGATCTGAACGGATCACAAGCGATTCAGACTCAGCCAGAGTTCAGACTTTACAGGGATCGATTGCATCAAAGAGGGCGACTGCATCACCCACTGTTACGATTCTATTGCACGCTCCGTGGTTTCACGACTTTCGAGGAACTACCTTGAATTTTCTGCAGTCTCTCGGTATCTATATGCGGTCTTGTCTCATCATAAAGTCTTTCACCTGTTGTGACGATACTATAATATATCTATAATTTCGAAAGGTTAAGGTTATAATTGTTGGTGGTATTTTTTGTATAGGCGTAACGACGAATCAGAAGTTAAGAATTAGAAATAAATAAACAGATACGAGCCAAACTATAGCCTGGCTCATGCTCGATAACAGTACCGTTAGGAGGAAGATTTACTTTCGAATTGTTTTGATAAAACTGTAATTATCATCATAAAAGAATTGAACATTTGACATCAGCTTCCAGAAAACAAATTGACATCAAATGCGATTTAAAGCAACGAACAAAAAAACGAGTAAAGAAGAATAATTACGATACTTAAGATCATAAAACACGTTGAAATGTTTTGAAAAATCTTAGAACTTCTCAATAGGATAAATATTCAAGTTTTAAACATTCACGAAATTGACGAAACTGAATCAAAGATACACGTAACAATGAAAATTACTATATTTAGCATTCTTGCTATTCCCTCTCGGTCTTGAACATCCGGATAAAATAGGTGAATTTCATTTTTGCAACAATCTTCATTCAAAAACATGATGCAATCCTAACTGGCCATCACTCAATAAAATAATTCATTCAAGTCACCTTCGAAATAAAAAATCCACTCAGCAATAAAACATACATTCCCTCCCAAACCCACACTGATCGAAGAAATTGATTTCTGACAAATTCAACGACAAACGACGCTCAATCCTCGCGAGTTACAGTCTCCGTGATATTCCTGTGCCGTTTGATTCGAGACAGACCTGAAAATAAGTGAACGATCGTTGAATAAGCCATCGAGATAGACCTATAAATGCAAGCAACAACACCAATAATTATTTGTTTGAATACGAACCGTCAGTGTCTTTGGTCAACGAATACAACCATTCGGGACGACACAGCTGACGGAGATGTTCAACGAAACGATAGTCGTGTGTGATCACGATCAGTTGAAATGCCTTTTGTGTTGACGAATTCCGCTCCTCGATTATTTCCGATAGAATGTCACCCAAATTCTCCACCTAAAATCAAAAATTCACACATCAGCTGACAATGAGCATCGCTTACAACCAGCAAACTTAGAATGACTATCAACACCATTTATAATTATTACCTTCAAAACATCCAGATTTGTCGTCGGTTCATCCAAAGCAATTATTGAGCATTTATCGCAAAACACATCAGACAATGCTATTCGAATGAGTATTGACGCCAACATCTAAAATTTTATCATATAAGTTTTCAAGAGAAAATCACGACCTCAACCAGACGTTTTCGACTACTCAACTGCTTTCATTCATACTCTTTCCTATCGTCACGTTTCCACTATTCACCAATTAATTGTTCATTCATAATTTTGAAGTCAAATCTGGTCTGGTTCACTGCCCTTTCAATAAAATGACTGTACTTCAATTAATCAGTAACTGGCAGATGCGCAAAACCAATTGAGATATGAAAAAAATGAAACTTCTGCATATGAATGTATCAAGATTTTCACCACTGGTACACCTTCAAAAAGGATATTCACATTCAGAATGTAAACCCTCATCATAAGTTCACCTTTTGTCCAGCACTACACCTGCCAGGCATATCGATCTCCTTTCCATCCATATGCATAACAACTCGATAGTTATATGATTTCCTCTTTTCGGATTCATCAACACTCTCTGATCTGGAGTTGATGATATCTTTGAATGGCGAACGTTCGAAACGACATCAATAATCGCAATATAACATCAAATACTAAACTAAATGAAACGAATAATGGACTGAAACGGTCTGAAGCATCTGATCAAATCGATTGTTCTAAAAGAGCAAACTGAAATACCACCAACTTAATCTGAATTTTTTCCACATCACTGCCTCGATAAACGCGTTCCCATAACGATGCGAGAATTTCGTTAATCTCTTCCATTTTCTTCGCGTGAAATTCCACAATCGACTCGTCGACTGCCCGAATATACGTTGATAAATCCTCCAATAATGAGGAATCATTAATTCACCCAAAATTTAAATGTTAATATGCGAAATGATCATTCACGTGTTCTAATTCATCATTTTATATATGAATTACATGATTTTACGACACGAAAACCATTTCCTTTGCAATTTTCCGTAAAGTGTCTTCTTGAGAGTGACGTTGCTAGTCAAATGTATGGCTGTCTGGCAAACAGCTTTAAAGGTATTTCACCTATGACCACCACCGCTGACCACTAATTAAATGTTCTTCATCGAAAATCTCGTAACATGAGAAAATCGTATGCGTACTTCGATAACTTTTGCAGTTACGCATTTGGTGATAACTTCTTTCTTGAAGTCCTCTTCACACTTCAAAAACTCTCTGCTGCATAACTTCTCTTTCATCTCACTGATTCGTTTCTTCTGCAATCCCATCTCACCTGAAATTTCACCTTCAACTTGTACCAATCCTACACTAGCATAATACATTAGGCATCAACTAATGATATAATCTCTGAAAATCTTGATATAATCTGATAATGTCGAATCTTGATATAATCTTTTCAGAACTGAAATAAATACATACTTCAACAACAGAGACAATAAAAAATCTTCTACATTCACCAAATTAAAAAAACACTTGTAAACACAACGAACTGGGTGCAGAAATTCAATTCAAGTTTGCCTTACACAGATGCGATAACTCTCAATCGACTCTTTTACTATCAGCTGCAGACAGCCAGTAAATTGGATAAAATAGATATGTTGCCATATTCATTACAACTGAAAATTGCCGACCTCGAGTTCGTTCGAGATCAAGTGACGTTTCGCTATAGGTTTTTTGTATTAAACTTTCCTCTCGTCGAACACCTTCGAAAGTCTTCACCTCAGCACTCAACCGTTCCTGTGTCTTCTCGAGTTCCACAATCCTTTCGGCAAGTTCCATCTTCTTCAGCTGTTCGTCCAAACGTCGTTTTCGTTCTTGCTGCAACAACAATCGCTTTTTACAATACTGTCGTTCATCCGTATGATGGCGTTAAACATCGGAATACACTCGAAAATCTTCACTTCAGTGTTCATATTCACACATCTTCATTTCATCATATATTTCCACATCGAGACGACATTTAACCAAATTCGTTATCAAATAATCACTATGATTTTGGTTGCGATGAAATTTCTGATCTGCTCGCATATGACATGATGTCAGTGGAACATTTTTTGATTTCATCAAATTTGGCTACTTCAATGCGTTTTAACGTCGACCTCGCTCCAAAGTGGCCATAACTATCATTAATGCATTACAATAAATCAAGATAAAAAGAGCGAAAAAACAGCACACGAAAACCTTTGTGTTGACGTTATCGAATTGTGCTTGCAGTGTTCGCATTGATTCATCAACCGAAATTGCTTCAGATTTGAGCTGTTTCAGTTGGTCTTCCTTCATTTCAAGCTCAACAACGCCATCCTTCGAGATTTCGATTCTTTTTTCAATCACCTCTACAACACAAACCACCAATTCATTCGGCCGCCTACTTATCCACTTCAATTGATAATCAATCACCAACAATTTAGACACATCTTAATGCGGTGATCAATTCATTACAGTTGAACTTAATCGTTACGCATCACAATGTTTTGTCAACAAACTGCCCTATTTTCATAGCACTTTGCATTATCAGAGGAAATGCATCAAATCGTATTCACTCACGTCCTATTTTCGCAGTTCCATTCTACAAGCCATTCTCATGCTCTTGACAAGATGAGCCTATTTAGAAGTTCAACCAAAAGATTATTTCCAAGCAGGGAGATATTTCTTCAAATTTTTGCTGTTAAAAAAAACAAAAAATTAACTAATTTGTGCTCTCATCGCTTCAATCGCTCGTCGCATATCGCTCAGTTCATTCTCTTCATTTTTACCTTCTGTCTGTATCTCAGAACGTTCCGCTATCTTCGCCTTTAAAACAATTTCCTTTGAATTCTTCAAAAATTGAACGATATCACGATGCTATTCGAAAGTGTGCACGGTCTATTTATTTGAAATGATTTTGCGATCATGTGGAGTTATGATCGTCATCTGCGTGGAAAAAAAAGCAAACTGCTGGGTCTGTCATGGAATTGCACAGTAATGCGATACAAAATAATCACAGAGGCGAAAATATTCCATTGCAGAACTCAATAAGATTATTACCGAAACGAATCGAGCAAAAATTCCGCATGAGATAATTGAGAGCGATTGGAAGATGATAAATAAAAACCTGTAATTGCGCCTCAATTGTGGGTAATTTCATATTCAATGCTAACAGTTCCGTTCGCTTTTGATCTAACTCGGACTGCTTGTTTTTGAGTGCTTCGATTAAACGATATTGTTGCCTTGCATTCTCCATCACTGTTAATCGATTTTCGCGTATTGCATTCAACTGAATCAACAATTGTATAATAATTGCGATAAAGATAACAGTCATTGACCAAATTATTTTTTGTTCATGGCTGACTGCAAATCTCTTGTCTACATAGCTAACTGCATTATGAATCCGCTTCTTCAATGAAATTTTTACTTATCGAGAAGCTATTTTCATTAAATATCTCACAATTCATTCATGATAAACGAGAACATCCCCAAGAAGGGCATTATCTCATTAGAGAGCCTTCGTTCGATATAGATTAACTGAAGAGATCAGTAAGATGTTATGAACCTTTTCAACGACTTTACTTCGTTCTGCAACCGACGATTGCACCTGATCGATTGCACTGATGAGACTTCTGAATTCATTCTGCAACTCTCGGCTTTAAGGAATCAAATTTTTGTTCGGAAACAAAACGCCGCCAAACGAAATCAAACTAAGAAACAATGAACAAATGAATTTCTCAGCAAGAAATATTCACTGAAGTCCGAATTTTCGATACCTGAAACGGATTCAATCACAAAATATTAACCGCCAACAAACCTCACATCGCTCAATCTCATTCCGAAGTTCTGCCACAGAGTGTTGACGAACACGCGATTTGTCCTCGAAATCATCATCAATATTCAACTCAGCTTCGAGACGTTTAATTTCACGACATTTTTCATTCAAACAAGTCCACGTTTTGTCGATTAATGATGCATCAGCCTGCAATATCCATCATCACAAAAATGATATGTACCTCGATTGGAAGCCATCTAAACTGAGATGGCTTCGTACGAGGTTCATTCAGAGGTTGTGTCATCCTCACAACACCACAACAAATCGCATGAATTCATCAACACAAAACCTACAACCCTATTGAGGAAGGAAATCATCCAATCGAATCACTTGTAGAACGCTTATCGATAATAATGGCAGACATGAAATTGGGCAGATTTCCTCTGATTTGAAACTATTCAATTTTGATTTTTGAATGAATTTCTTGTCATCAATGATAAAAACAAACGCACATAAACAAAAAAATGAATGCAAGATGATTGAATTGAAGATTATGATTGAGAAGCGAACCTGAATAGATCGGAATGTTTCTCGTCTCTTCTGCGTTTTTTCCAAATCATTTCTTGATGTCACCACCTCCTCTTCAATTGAACGTCGTTTATTCTGGAAAGCAATCAAAATTTAGTGTAAATAAGCTCATTACAAACAAAATAAAACCATAAGAATAAAGTTATTTATTCACCCTCTCTAGTATCTCTTGAGGCATTGACACCAAATGAACAAATTCATAACTGTGACGAACCGGAAAAGTTAACTGAGACTAACGGTACACTGTGCTCGTTGATGAACGTCTATGAGGCAAAAGTAAATCAAACAATCGTCTAGATTCTTAACATAACAAAACTCAATGAACCTCAGCCATTTTCAAATCGCTCTCGAGTTCGCTTCGATCATTGAGCAGTCGTTTGACGATATTCACATACGGCTGCACCTCCATCAGATCGCTCTGTTGTTCTTCATATTCTCGCACACGTCTTTGCAAACGTTCAATTTCATCGGGTAATTCTGCTCGTTTCATGTTCATCTCAAACACTTATCAATGGCAACATCACACAAATACAATTTCAAAACGAATATTCCTATAGATAATAAATACTCGGCATTACTGAATATACTCGCATTCACCACACTTCAAGAATACTTTATAAACTTAAGTTCCACTAATTATCCACTTACTTATTGGTTTGTTAATTCTGCTGAATGTTCTACAGATCAACTATGTTCCTGTAATATTCACGACAAATCTCTACTCTCTACGAAAGAGTTTTCAACAGAAATGTACCTTCGAAGAGATTTTATTAGCTTCTTGAGCATCTTTATACTTTCGTTCGCACAGAGGACAACACGTTTTCTCACGCAATTCATTATCCCATTTATCGTACAGATAACGACATCCGTCCAAAACGCCAAGTTCATTACGCGTCTTCGTGATCAGCTGATTCATCTCTGATAACTTCGCTTCGATGTCTTCACCCGGCGATAACACCTCAAATTGATATTTGCAATGTGATCTGATTGTGAAATGTGATCGATTGTGAAATCGTTGAACGATTGATTCGGAGTATAATCTCTTGCTGGGAGATGAAGAAGGAGGAAGAGGGCGTTTTGTATTGATATTAGAGAAGTACTTATTTGTAACAATAAGTTTTGGTAATTGGTTCAATGAATTAATTAATGAAACGTTATAACTGAGCTATAGCTGGCGTATAGCTATTACGGTTCAAAGGAAGATGATGCAGTAACATAGGAGATAAAATACTTTAAGCGTTTGTTCGAGTGAAGTTCGGTTTTTGAGATGAACTGATTCATAATTACCTTAGAGATATTTCGTTGGTGATTGTCGATTTGCTGCTGGATTTGGTCGAGATCTCGTTGGATTTGTTCGTAACGATTTTTTGCGACTGAGTATTTCTTCTCTCGATCTTGGTACTCTTCTTCCACAATCCCATTGGTTCTGTCCAACTTCCGCAAGAAAGTCGCAAGACGATCACTACAAAACGAATATGAAATATTTCATCGAATCAAATTCCAATCCATTTCGCATTCGAATACCTCAAAATCGTCTGAATTCTACCATCACTCTAAATTCGCACTGAATTCAAATTCCATTAAACTTTATCATCTACGAATGGTTTTTATTTCGCATAAAAATATTGATTTTGAACTGAGCTATGAAACTTTGAAACTTTGGGTGCAACTGCCCAAGAACTTTCTAACATATCTGAAACATAAAGAAGTTCCAAATTGAGTGAAGTGATTTAATGCGGAACAATTTCGTTGATCAATTCACCACTCAACCAACAATCACCCTCGATACAAGTGAATATAACATTAACTTTATAAACATAAAAACTAACCCGATCGGATATTGAATTTCATCGCCATTGAATATCTCTTTGATTGACGACTGATGTCTTTCGGTGAGTTCCTTCAATTCACCTTCCAATCGATTTTTCTCTTCCAACACTCTCTTCAGCTCATTTTCGATTCCTTCTTCGTTTTGCCGTTCCTTGTATTCACTTTGCAATTTATTCATCTAAATTTCAACTAATTATCTCACAATGTTCTTGATGTCTTGCTTATTGTTCATCATGCATTATAGCATAAGTGAATCAAAATTCCACATTTTATCAGGATGGAACAAAAATAAAAACCTTTCTGAACTGGTTAAAGTTATTAGCATTTCAAAACAAGTAACAACACATGAAATCGCTAACTTTCATTAAGAAAGTTCAACTTTTACAAGGAGGAGGGTTATGCTAAGAGAAACCTCCCTGATCTGATCTGTTTAATATAAATAAAATTTGATGATACATAACGAAATCGCCCCATCATCTCATGTAATCAGAAATTTGAAATCAAGACTAAACACAATTGGAACAAACCTCAGCAGCGATTAAATCACGACGCTGCATCAAGTTATCAATATCGAAAGCGTTTTTCGAACTGCCCTCATCACTCTTAGTCGCTTGATTCATTTCATTCAACTGGCGTTCCAACTCGCCGATTTCCAATTCCACTTTATCGATTCTGAATTCAACACCCTTCTGCACTGATGCAATCGCATTCTAGTGGAACTACTCTGAATTGATTACGAGAACCATGCACGACTACACGGCAACGAGTTGATCGTTGCGCACCAGACTAACCTGACCTGAGCCTCTTCGATGATTAAAGCTCTTCTTTGCATGTCATATAAACGAATAAATCCATCGAAAATAAACCAACTCTTTTTGTGAGTTTGTTTGATCGTTCAGTTGTGAATTAATCGTCTGAATTGTTTCATTCAACTTCGCGCATTCACAATCGGTCATTCCGATTCTGCTCTTAATTTGGCCGAATTCTATAGAGCACGCGTCAATCGCCTTCTGACACGCGGCCAGCCGTTCACTATGATCTTTCTGGAAACCGAAAAACAATCTCAAATTTTGAGCACAAAATCAACCAAAAGTCAGAACTTGGAAAGTGAATTGTGCTCGTAATGAACGTTACAATCAAATTTTGAGATCTTATCGCACTGTCAACCGATCAAAATTCTCATACTGAGCCAACTCCGAACTCTTCACACCATACCTTATATTAAATTCACATGAAATCGCTTGAAATATCGACCTAAAACATGAAATCAAAAAATGCACGCGACTCGATCACCTGAGATCCCTCCAATTTATTGTTGACGTTCCGTTGCAGTTCATTCATTTTCACAACAAAATCATCGCTCCCTTAAATAAGATGGGGATATGAATAATTACTGAACGATCGCAAACAGGTACAACAAATTCGGAATGTGTCTGAAGAATATTTTAAACCTACCGGTCAAGTTGAACATTTTGCACGCTGATGCAATTGCTTCACGCTTTTCTTCATGCAACTTCTCACGTAACTGTAACAAAAACCACCTGAGAGTGATCATAAAAAATTCTGCCACCAAAATCAAAACTTTAGCATTATACTGACAAATTTCGCGACTCTCCGCCTTCTATACCGCCAAAATACCCGTCCACTCCTTTGGTGATCAAACTTCTAATCAAAAAGTGCCCCCCCCCCCATTCCTAATATAACTATAAAAATGTGGTATGAAATGGAGATTGACTTACCATATTAACAGCTTTCAACTGTGATATAGCATCCTCTACATTGCTTTTTTCAGACTGCAATTCATTCAGTCGCGTTTTCAACTGCTTCATTTGATCTTCAATACGAAAACGCTCCTTTTCGACACTCAAAAATTCGGCCGAGTTGGACACCTTCAAAACGAATGAAATTGCTGATTAATCACTGTTTGCTGTCGAAAGGAGAAGTGCAATGATTGGATTACTATGAGTGGATTGGTTCTCTATGAGTGATTGGATTACTTATTTACGAAGGCGGCTATGGAGGCTTGATGATCTGCCTGACCGATCTTACCGTTCAGATTCACATTTCTCTCCATACTATTATCGATAGCACCATTATTATATCATGATGTAATATTGTTTTTTGCACAAATTTCTCTATGCATTGAACACGGTACAATGATATTTTAGCAGATATAATGATTGTTAGCTCATCGAGTATAATGATATTTTAGCAGAGAATAAGTTTAGAAAGCAGTCGTCATGAATGGCAGCAATAACAACCATCCACTATCCATTTGTGAAACAAAACTGTTCTCGAAAGAATTTCAACCTTCTCGATTTCTTGTTTCAACTGTGCAACTGTTCCGCGAAAATCCGGTACCATCGCGCAATCGTTGTATTGCTGTTTCACAATGCGATGTTCAGTACGAACTCGCTCTGAAATCAACGCATAATCACAATCAGATGTCAAAATGATGACAGAATAATCGCGGCATTCATATTCGGTGATATCAAAAAGTTTCGCTCATAATCTCACAGTAAGCACACTGAATTGCTTTCCAAATCAATGGAACAAACCGAATTCTCGTTCAGTTTCTGAAGCATTTTGCAATTTTGTTTTCGCCTCTTCCCATTTGCCCTTCAATTGGGCCAAAATCTCTTCATTTGCTTTCATTTCCCTATCAGCCATTTCATAACGTCGTTTCAGTTCGATATACTCATTATGTAACTGCAATTATATCATTGAAGACAAGTCAAAAAACAATCTTGATAGCAATATTAACGTCGTTGCACAATTCGGCTTCGAGCTAAACTTTCTTATAAGATGTCAAATCATAGACCTCCAACTTGCGACTTTGTTGCTCGATTAGAAACGGCAGTCTAGCTTGTGAAATCTGTAGATGTCCCTTCTGAAAATTCAGTCATTTTCAATGAATCGATTTTCAAGTAGCTATTGGTGATTTGTTTAGGAATAACGATCGAACGATGATCATAACTAAGGTGAAGTAATTCAAAGTGATTACTGAAAAGTGATTCTCAGAACCGAATCAGTTCGAAAATTAGATGAACATAATGATTAAAACAATGTAAATGATAACAGTGTTGATACTCATAATCGCTATTAATGATGTTAATAATGATAATAACAACATCAGGTAAAATAATAATAGAGTCAACGAATGATTCACAAACGTTTTCTTTCATTTCCTTTTTGAGCAACTCGATCGCTTTTACATAACCACTCACTTGGAATATCTCATCGAATCGCTCCTTCAACTTTTTTGGTTCTTCAAGAGGCCTGAATAATCAGCTGTTGAATTCTTTAGTAATCAGCTGAGATTGCTTATTGCTCCACAAGAAACAATTAAAGATCATGACAATATAATCTGAATTCAGTCAATTTACCATGTCGACTCCTCTTGATGACAGAATACAACATACTCCAGAATTGCTGCAGGTACACCCAATAAGTTCAACACCTGAATTTCAGTTCTGTTTCATCACCAAAGAACTGGATACTGAGCGATTCAATGAATATTCATTCACAACAGTATAAATACTATTCGAATATTTGGTCGTGATATATTTGATGGGACAGAAAAGGCGATGTACCTCTTTCTTACAGTCGACCACTTTCGAAGAGAGACTCTTCCAGTCGTCCGCTTCCACTTCGATAGCTATTGTGCTTTCTTCGGATCTGGTCGTTAACTTACTCTGTAATCGGAATGAAAGTACACTGTCACAGTGATCATACGACAGTGAATGAATGAAATTGAAGCATACTTTAGTGCCTTCAGCTCGTGCAGTCATGCGACGTGTGACCACACATGAACGATTACGAATATCTTTGAATTTCAACTTTACCGATGCATCGATACGTGTTTTGTTAGCTATCTGAAACACCCATTGTTCAGTTCCTTATTCCTCTTATCAACCTCATTACAATAAACATACTCGGTAGTCATGGATGAATGTCGGCATTTTCCCCGGTGGAAGTTCGTTGGTTGTTGCGTATTTGAGAGCTTCAATTATTGTCTGAAATAGTCACCTTATCCATTACGCACCGATATTGTCTAGTACTGACCTCATTACTATTGAACAATTGAGAAACATCCGTATTATCATCCATGATACGGATCAGGATGCGTCTAATCTAACCTTCTAAGTTGCATGCAGCAAATGTTTATTGCTTAAAAATAATGTTAATATTATCATCATTGAAACAATCGATGTTTTGTAAAACCTTCTGTATTCGACCTAAAGAAATTCCCATTGGAAAGCATGAAACTGACCGTTTTTCCAGATCCATTAGGGCCACAAATGATCGTTAGTGGTGAAAGAAATTCAATAACGATTGCATTCTGAGGTCCAACGCCTATACTTCGTATACCTTGTATTTCAATTGTATCCAACAAAGACATCTCCTTATGCTTTTTAATCTGTAATACTGACACTCTGTTTTATCACCTCAGTTATGGCTATCCTCTGAGACAGTGATTCTCGACGTTCTTTTCTCATACGGACTCCATAATGATTTTTATGATGGCCTCATACCCCTCTCATCAATAGTTACTTAAAATGCCCTTTCACCCTTTAGAATATCATCTTGCATCTGTTAGTTAAGAAAACCTGAGCACTCCCGATTCAGAAACCCTGCTCTACGGTTATGATGCTTCGATGTTTCACTGCACTGAACATGTCGCCGATTACAGTTGCAGCTACAGTTTTAAAGAATTTTATTCATCCATCTGACATATTCATTTACATATAAATTCTTATCGGCTAACTTAAAAATCGCTTCAAAAATCATGCAAAACTGCAAATGGCATTCATAATCGCACGTGCGAATGTACCAGTTAGTAACCAAAATTGGATATTGATTTTATTGGAATACAAACTCGCTTGATCAGAAAATACCATTTATTTCATATAATACAAACCGCATTCAAACGATCCTATATCTGTTAGACTTTTGCAGTATTTTCGTTACAAAAGCAAATAAAAAACCAGTAACAACAAATCACAATTGAACACTATCACTGAAATACACCAATAAAAATGACAACACAATAGCAAATTCTGAACAAAATTTAGTAAAGTTTCTATTAGTTATTATACAATTTGCTTCAATGAAACAACTTCAAAAAATACATCGAATATTTTAGGTTTCGTTACATCACACTACACGCTTCAGCAGCCTTGTCCGCATCAACGAGTTTCGGTAAACCCGTCGACGAGTCCACCTGCCAGCCATCTGGCTGCAATACAAACAAAGTTCACATACGTATGAAAAAAGAACAACTTAAAAACAAATTAACCAATACTTGCTTATATCTGTTAACTTTCTTTCTAGCACACTTCACTCGAGTTATCACTCCCCAATCAGTATGATTTGATTGATTTCAATGTTCTTTTTTGATGAACTCACACCAAAAGAGGATCAAAACATGAAAGCCAATTCAACAAAACAGAAATGTGATTATGAAACAAGATTTTACCATTTTGCCGGTCAACTGTTCGGGTGTAGCTCCATGTGACTGTAATTCCAGCATCAGTAAACTTATCTTCCGGAACCATTTACTCATTTCCTCCTTAAAGGTTCCTTTTAATTACTAATAGAGCAGCATCGGAGAGCATTAAAAAATTTCACCAGAAAAGTCGAAAGTCTCGATAAAATTCCCACTAAAAAAAACGACGAAATTAACCTTCGAAGCTGTTGCTTCATCAAAATCATTTCGTTCATATTCTCGACAAATTTTTTCCAATACTTCGATTTGCCTCTCGTATCGCGCTTTTGTTTGCGAGTCCAAACTACTCTCATTCTCTTTCATATAATTCGGAAACTGCAACAATATCCCATTACTCACGTTAAGAGTTGCCATAATTACATATGTTATTGATGAAATGAATAAATGAATGAATGATTAGTATAATGGGTATTATGAAATTGCTTTAAATAATATGAAAGTGATTTCAATGAGTGTTATCTTGATATTATTATCACATGAAACGAATTAGAAAACATCGCATACCGCATCATAGAGTTGCTTTATCGACGGATACATAACGTCTTTCGAGAAGAGTGTTTGCACGACACTGAATAAAGGCTCGAACGGAGTCTTACCATCCGGTGCCAACGCTTGCATGCCCTCTTTGATTTCATCTTCTGATTGTCCGCGCTTTCAAATGCCATTATTTCAGTCATATAATCTTACAATGCCTCTTATTAGCAGTCTTTCAGACAAATTGAGAGACTAATCGAAAAGAGTGCATAATTGTGATGAGTTTACAAGACTATTATTATTACTAATGAAAGAAGTGATTCAATGAATTAGACTCACCACAACTTTGGCTGTATTATGAGACAATGTGACCAAATTTTGAAGAAACTCTTTCGCTTCTTGTTTTTCTTCGTTCGCAATATCTTCTACAATCACATTCTTCTCCAGTGCTCTTTGCTGGACGCTTATTAAAGCTTCAAGCATTTCCTTCAAATTTTCTTATTAATGATATATCAAAATAAAACGACTCAATCAATTAAAATTATCCAAAAGTAAATCACCTGAAAGTTGTTGGCCGCCCTTCGAGCCGCATTTTGATCCACTTTTTTCGCCATTGCTTCGAGTTCGTCGTCGGTTTTCTTTGACGAGGATGAGCCTGCTGGAGAAGTGGCCGATGGAATCATCGCTGGGAACACTTTGATTTCACTGACCTAAACTACTAAATGAGTTTAGCGGAGAAATCCCTTGAACAGATCCTTTTTTCTTCTCAACAATCACTGTGCCCGGCACAAAACTTTCGCAATAGAGATGATTGATTAATCACAAGCAAGTGAATAAGGTTAATAAAAAAATGCAATCAACAACAAATACACTTACTGCCAAAAAATTCGAAATTCTTCACTCTTCACTCAGTGCGTATTTTCATTGATCACAAATCTTCAGTTTACAGCTGATTAAACGTTGAGATGTTTTGTTTTTCATTAGAAAAATCGGAACCAACGAAAAGCAAACAGCTATTGCCACACACACATTCATACACTTCATGTTCGTATGAGTTTTCTTCAGCACGGCTGAAACAACCTCAAATCAGAATCAATATTAATCCTTCGGAAATGTCAAGAAAAAATTCTCCGAAAAATAAATAATTGGGATACGAGGAAATAATCTGCAAAAAAACGATTCCAACAGAGCTGATAAGTTTAATCATCGCTTTGGTAACACCGCTAACATGGATGTTGGCGTTTCGATGTGGTGGCAGCTTGGCAATTTCCATCTTATAGATTTATTTTACACAATTAACGATAAGCTAATTGTAAGCTGAATATCAATTTAGTGAGTAGTCGTAACAAGGAATAAAGCCTTTTGTCGATCCACCAGAGTGATCGGCAAAGCAACCGCTCAATGCTCAAATCCCAAGTCCTTCATATTATCTGTTGAATTGTCCCTCTAACAAATATCTATCTGTTAAATGGTTATGATAAGTTTTGTTTGCATTTTATAGAATTAATTGGAGATGAACCTTTTAGGTAGGAGCAATGTTCCGTCGGGTAGCTGCATCTTTTGTTCGTTTCTCTCAGGTACACATTCTGTTCTATGTCTGCTTATTAACTGAACACTGTTTCTGCCCAAAACTTTAACATTTCAGCATTAGGTGCCATGTACCAAGAAAAAAAATTAATTTCCAAACTTTTCTTTCTCATCATATGGATTCGTCAGCATTTCAATGTTGTTTCTGATTCATATTACTCACTTTTCAACTTTCCACTGATCATGCAAAATGTACAATGCATTTTTTTTCAGCAATGTGGTGCACATATACGAAATGTTAGCGGTTTAGAGAAGCGTCGTTTGATGACGCAGTTTGTTGGTGTGCAGTTGGGTGCGGCCACAGCAGTTGCTCTCACCGATAAACAGCTCCTGAAGAAGCCGGAATGGTATTTGCTTTTGCCAAAGACTTTTCTCCTAGCTCTGTGGTTCATGCTTTTGGAAAATGAGACGAATTTCCACAGACAATTGTAGAATTTTGACTACCATGAAGGGTATTGTTTCCATCTGGAATTATGTGGTGCAGCGAAGAATGTTCCTGAACTGATAAGCTAATCAGCTTTCCATCGTATCGATTTTCGCTTGTTTTACGAATCGTTTTATTGAATGTGACAATTCAGGTATCAACATGCTGTGCAGCGTCTTGAGAAAACAATTAAAAAGACTGGCAAATATGGTTATATCGAAAGTGAAGAAGTATTAGACGAAGCTTACGATGTTCTCTTGAGGTACTGCCGCTTTTCTTGGTTTACACACTTATGACGAATTAGAAGTAATGATCTTCGTTCAAGTTGTAAATTTCAGAGTCAGCGATGTGGAAAATACCGAACTTTTGTGGCGTCTTACGAGGGTTCTGGTCGAAAAAGCCGAACTCAGCAAGTGTGACATCGAGAAGCAGAAACTTCTTAAAGAGGTATGTTTTTTTGTGCTCCATCATTGTGTTATGTGCTTTTCTTTTTTCATAATTCCTTCAATTTGTCGCTTTTTTTCTCTACTAATGTGAAGTTGTTTCTTAGAAGAATCAGTGAGAAATTGAATCTCGAGTACATTGTTAATGAGTATTCACCGGAAAGATTCTGAAGAAACGATTGACTTATCACCATAATTATATTATACCATGTGAACAAATATAGGCTGAAGTTTATTCGAAGAAAGCGTTATCGTTCGAGGGTTCAGCTCCATCGGCTGGTGCTCACAAATGGTACTGTCATTCGATTAGTATCTCGTTCTTTTAATGATTATCAAATTGTAGCACAATATTACTTAATAACGAATCATCACCGAATTTCTGATTGATTATTTTGATCGCTTTCGTTGCTTGAATACTTCATCGTTCGATTGAAGGCATGCAATATTGCTGATGAAACTGGCTCATTTCGAGAAAAAGATTGATCGGAGTGCCGAGATTCGCGAGCATTTGAATAAAGCCACTCAGGCTGATGCCTCAGACCCGCACGCATGGCATTTACTCGGTTAGACTGTTTTTTGAGTGGCTTTTTTATGGTCTCTATCACAAAGTTTATGCATCCATCTAGTTGAAGGAAAATCAGCTGAAAAAGGAGTGCAATTTGTTTGCGTATTCATTCGGTAGTCATTTCAGGCTTAAGCTATTTCAATACGAAACACTACAAAGAAGCGGCGGAGTATTTCCAGAAAGCTGAAGAAGTTAAAGTATGTTTGGTTCGATTTCGAGTTGATGATTTTGCTCTTGTTATACGAATTGTGAAGTGAACGAGTGGCATAAGCAACGGTTCATCCTTATTTCAGCCAAATTTCTCGCCAAGTAATCTGTATTATTTGGGAGCAGCACAACGCAAATTGCGCGATAAGGCCGCAGCAATTGAATCGTTCAAGAAGGCCGTGGCACTGCCTGTAAAGACAAAAGCCGATGGACGGGTTGGTGTCATCAAATAAAATTAATTTGTTTTTGTTTTCCTTTCTATGAAAATATTCTTCAAATGTTTGCAGTGCCTTCTAATATCACGTTGGGAATATAGCTGTCACTGTTTATTAATTTTCTGACTGAAAGTTGAGACATGAGCAAGTGAATTTGATCGAAGTTTCAATTTTCTTCGTTCAACTCAGGAATCCAATTGCTTGGTTGATTTAAGTGATTTTTGAGTATTTTGTTTACAATTAATGATGGTTATCATGGTCCATGCAATATTATGATAATCATATAGTCATATGGCGAATGGTTGCAGGCGAAATTGGACACGAGAAAAGCGTTAACGTCACTGAAAGTGAAACCGGAAGAATACGCACCCATTGAGGACGTCTACTGATTGATTCGTTGATTGATCAGCGATTACATGATCGATATTTTCTGGTATTTATACGCCTTATCCGAATAGTGCGTGAGTAACGTTTAAAGTGATACAACTGATTGTGTTTGTATATCAAACTGATGTGGTTAACTACATTTTTATCATAGGGCTGATTGTTCGACGTTTTGAATTAGTAGTTTAATTCTGTCAGTGAATGGTCGTTTGCTCATTTTTATGAGGATGATTTAGCATCCACAGAATAAATTATTGATACAAAGTAATTGTTTGTTGATTATTGCTGCGGTGTATTAAGTTCAAGTTTTGTTGCCGAATACTGATGAAGTGAGTTTATTAACGACAGCAGAATAAATGCCTAGACTTGGCAGTTTTTATTGATTCATTATTCAATGAAGATAGACACGGTTATGCAAGAAAGACATATGAACACAAATAATACACGATACAAATTGATGACAGAAGTATTTCAACGCAATCAGGCAGGAGAAACAACTCGATAATGAATGCAATGTTTGTAAATATAGACACAGAAAAGAAAAACATAATCATGTGTAGAACCAATCGTTTTGGACATCTCACCTCACAATTCATCAGTTCTCAAAATCCGGCCTGCGGATATTCTTAACTGCTCTCATCAACTGAAGAAAAGTTGTCAGTCATATCATCTCGATACTTGACAGATCCAATTGTTAAAGTCTCTGCGAGTGACAAGCATGGCATGTCTCGGTATCTACACATATTTCTCATCTCACAATGAGCACAACAAATGTGAAGTAAATCGAATGATCAATCAAACGTTAAACGCAATAAGAATCCATTGGTCATCGTACGGAAAATAATGTACCAATCGCACACAAAATTAACTTTAAATTCTCAATGCAAAATATGGCAGTAACAAAGGGCGAATATCACTGGAAATCAGCTTTTCATGAAACAATACGGCAGTGACAGATGAAGTTAAAAATGTAATAGGTCAGTGTAAGCAGATGAAGTCAGTGTAAGCAACATACAGCAAAAGGACATTACTTAATGGAATAAGACAACAACGTAATTGCTTTCCATAGATATGAATCTTTATGCAACATACTGATAACCAATACGAATGAATTTTCATTCGGTAATTCACCGGAGACGGTTCGAGAAATGAAATGACTTCGGTCTAGTTGAACAAACGGAATGCATCAAACCAACTACCGTGAACGACGTTGAAGAGCGCTGGTCGTTCTTGTATGAGGAGCACCAATGCCGTCTTAAATTAATCAGTCAAAGTCTTTTTGGTCGTTTGGAAATTCTCGCCAACACTTTTGCAGAGTTTATTCGGATGAATTTTGCGGAGACAGAGAATGAATGAGCTTGCAAACAAGCATCAACTAAGTCAACGATTGTTCGTTTTATTTTCAGTAAAGATAAGATCTCAACTCAAGCAAGGTAGCCGTATCACGTCAAGTAGCTAAGTGAATTTGATCGGCTATAACGCATCCACTCGTCAACAGATTTGTTATTTGATAAATGCACTCACTCGCTCAGAATCAGATTCAAACTCCGCTCACCTGATCATCGTCAGCACGACGTTGACTTATGAGATCAAGGATCAAGTGTTGATATGAACGATGAAATTGATTGATCGCATCTCGATCACCACCCAAGAATCCACCACTAATAACCGCCCAATCTTTACGATACAAATCATTGATTGTATATCTTGAAATCTGATCGTATTCTGGTGTTACCTACAATACATTACAGCGATTCGTACAGTAGGCTCGAAGATGATAACCCTAGGTTTAAGGAGCAGAATCGCTCATAGAAGCAGAATTGCTCAGTAAAATACACGATATTCTGAATCTAGAGGTTCTGAGAAATCGAAAGGTGTAGAGAAATTCAAATGTTATTGGGCAAACCTGAGAGTACCGATGGCTCAAAGATGGTAACCCCTATAGTGCTATCATAATGTATAGATTGATCTATAGTGATATAGTGATTGTTATTCGAATGGATCATACACCTTAAGCGCTCTTTGCTTTACAATGACTGCTACATCCAGCAGATTATTCCTCACTGATTTTCCTCTTCATTGCATTGAGTCTATGAATTGAAAAAGGTGGATTTTAGAAAATCATAGTAGGGCAATCGTTACTTTTATAAGTGAAATCTTATTTGGTGGAAAGTGCGGATACCATCGAAAACCCGGCGGAAATACTGCCCGATTGCCGTGACCATAGCCTGCGTCAAGCCACACAAAGTTCTCGGTGGTGAAAGGATTTTCAATCTGAAAGTGTTTGAAGAGAGATAATCGCATGATAGAAGTTCACAGTTATGTTGTTTGTCACATTGAATCACACATTAACGTGATATATTGAGTGAGTGTACTATTATTCTGAGTATCGAATGACTTCATCTCGCAAAACTGAGATTTTCTTTGGACTCATCATCAAAATTTACAAATGAACAGTTGTTGAGTGCGGAGAATATGAACGCACCGAAGCGTTGTATAAAAAGAATGATTTGGAATTGACGACAATGTCGTATGCAGCACTCTTTGCTTCAGGATGTGTCTTCATGGTCTCATCCCATTCCGAACTCCATCCATTACCACGTTGCTCATAGTCGATTATTTGTTCCACATAAGTCATGTATTGATGAAGTGGAAGTTCGGATAATGTAAATGGAATTATCTGCAAAAGTTATCTGATCGCAAACAACAATCCATTCGATATGTTTGTTGATCATTAGATCAGAATACGTGAATTTAGGCGTTGAGTGCATGGATATATGCCTCGATCACAGAAAATATCATTTGAAGAAATTCATTTCATTGGCCAAAGATGATGGATTGGCTACTTGATAGCTGAATCAAAAAACAAAAACCAATTGAATGCTCATTAACGAACTTTAGTGACGTGATCCAATTTGAAATGTTTCCTTTTCTGAAGAACGTAATCGACTGTTTTTGGATCAACATAAATCACCAGATTGACTCTCAATTCGAGAACATTATTCAGATATTCGTAGTATCTGTTCAGTGGACGTCTATATTCCCACCATTGCCCTCGACCGATATCCAGAAGCGCTGTGACAAGCGTGAAACCAGACAGCCTTAATTTGAAATAGGTTATACAAGCATCGTTAAGAAATTGTTATGATACTAATTCTCCAGTGGACCGATTGATTACAGCATGAAATTGTTTGTTTTAATTTTTTAATTGCATTCGTTGCTGTGCGTACTGATCATTTCATGCATTACAGATGTCGACTACAGCTGAGGATCAGATAAAATTGTGATTCTATGAATTTAATGAAGCTCTGTTTTCAAAAGAAACTATGAAAACTGGCTCACTGATAAACTTGCTCAATATGCTTATTTGTTGAATACGTATGGACTGCATATGCACTTCATAGTGAGCATTTGAGCAGAAGATCGCCTAGATCAAAAAGTGGAACAAAATGAGCAATTAGAGTCAGAAAAGCTTCTCATGAATCATTTCACTGCTCATTAATTTGGCAGTGAAAGGAAGTCAGCACAATTACATCCTTCCGATTCATCATTTCACCTTTCCTTATCCAATGATGTAAACAATCTTAAAAAAAGCACTTCTGTTCACGAGCTCTAATTCGTTCCTTTGGAGTTATTAAGAAAAATAGGTACGTTTGACAACTTTTTATCGTGAAAGTGCTGAGTAAGCTCATTTCAAGCATAGCTAGTTAAGTAATGAATAAGCTGAAACAAATCGCACGATACAATCGAATCACCTCGGTTGAGATGAATCCATATTGCTCATTAAATGGAGCCGTGATGCTGGCGCTTGTGTTGTTAATGGCTTTTTGAGATATTTCGGTCTTGTCGTAGGCTTGGGCCTGAGTGGAGTTGTGCTAGTGGTTGTTAACGGTTTGGTAGTGGTGGTTGATGGAGCAGTAGTTGTTGAAGATGTCGTTGGTTTAGAAGTAGGTTTGAGAGCAACTGCGGGGATACGTTTCGGAATCAGTTTAGCAACAAGAATAGGTTGTATTTTAGGGACTCGCTGAGCTATAGGTCCAGGCATTGGTTTGAGAGCAGGTTTAGGGTCGAATTTATGAACAACCCGAGGATACTCTTTCGGAACTGGTCTCAAAATTGGTTTGATAACCGGCTTAAAGTTTGGCCACAGTTTACGAGATGCTTTAGGTGTACTTGTTGTTGTTGTTGTTGTCGTTGTTGTTGTTGTTGAAGTAGTTGACGTACTTGAAGTTGAAGTTGTCCGACTGGAAGACGTAGTAGTTGGTTCAAGAACAGGCTTAGAAATAACCCGAGGAACTTGTTTCAGAATCGGTCTATTAGCGAGATTAACTTGCATTTTAGGGACTTGCTGAGGTGCAGGTCCAGAAAGTGGTCTGAGAGTAGATTTGATACGAGGAAATTCTGTTGGAATTGCTTTAGGAACTGGTTTAATGCTCGGCTTGAAATATGACTGCGTTGTTTCAGGAGTGGCCCTAGTTGTTGTTGGCATAGCAACGGTACTTGATGTTGTCCAACTGGAAGACGTACTGCTTACTAATATGGTAGAAGATACTGTAGTTGAAGATTTGGGTGTGAGAGCAGCAAATGAAGTTGAAGTTGTCCAAATGGGGACAGTAGGTGTAGAAGTATATGGATGATTGAGCAGTGATCTAGAAGGGGTACTTGTAGATGCGGTTATCGCTGGTGTTGTAACCAATGCTGGACTCTGATAAGGAGTCAGCGTCGTCGTAGTAAATGTAGGAGTTGTGGTAATGCCAATTGAACCGGTACTGTCAGGGATAGAAACTTCAGGAATGATATCAGTAATGTGCTCAGCATCAGCATTGCTATCAGTTGTAGTCGGGTATGTAGTAGTGGTGGATACAGTTATCACCGCTGGTCTTTTGGTTGTTGTTGTTAAGTGGTCAGGAGGAATGAGAGGGTCGTGAATGTACGGGATATCTACGGTCGTGGCCGGTGTATTTCTGGAGAGAGGTGTAACCGTGGGGGATGGAGTACTATGAATTGTACTGCGCTGCTCACTAGAATCGAATTCGATAGTGTCGTCGATAACAGCCGAATCGATGACGACGTCCATAAATTCACCACTTGAATCATCATCGGATGAAATTGGATGAGGAGAAGTGGAAGGTTCAGACTGAGGTTGCAGTGTAGTTGAAACGGTTGTGGCGGATAGCCGCGGTGAGGCAGCTGAATGTGGCACGAACATGAACAAATTTGTAGGAACAAAATGGTATGAAGATGGACTCAAATTGTTTCTCAAAGAATGTATTCATTGTTCAGCTTCATGCGACTTCACTCCGAAAAGTGACAAGCCAACAATTCCTTTTTGATCGACCTCTTTCAGATTTGATCAGTTTTTGCACCCGTTCCGCCCTTCCTCGATATCCTTGGATATAAATTTCACTTCGAAAACGAAAACTTCAATCAATTTGCGTCCCTAATGCATATTTTTCGAATAATTTTTAATGACTGATAACCGATGGAAATGAAAAAGTTCTCTCTTCATAAAGCATTTTACATTGAAACGTTCTTATTTCATTTCAGTTTGTCACATTCAAACACAAATATTGCAAAACCGATGAGTGAACGTTGAAAAAATGCTGATGAGAAAAACGAATGGTAAAGGATGATAACGACTGATAACAACAGACTTGTAGCTGTCGAGAAGGTGCTTTTTATGAGCAGATTAAATATAAGTGATTCAATGTTATCAGTTTCTAAATATTCATCACTGTCATATAAAACGTCGTTCTCTACACGATTCTCTTCCTCATCCTCATAGAATGGTCTTTTCATATTATCAGTACTGTCCAGTGTAGACTGACGCTCAACATCAGATGCCTGAAATCATAATTGATTCGTCACACATGTGCATGCTCCACCTTAACACACTTCGACTGATTTCAATGTTGCGTTCGATTCAATTTGTCATTCAAAACATCGCTTTTAAACCACACCAACTCAGAGTTGCCCAACAAAGAAATCGACTGTGTAATGCGTTGAAATCGTATGCCAATCGCTTGCGTTACTTGCGAATACTCACCATTTTAATGTGCAGTTCAGGAGACTGAATGATCAACTATGTAAGTGTCACATCTAGATGAAGTGAATGATAATCCTCAAATTCATAATTGATCAACAACCGTCAAAATCGTCACAGAACTATGCAACGCTCAAAAATTGCAACCTTATCGTTGATAATCGTTATTCTCAGTTGCATTCTGTACAAGAGAAAATGTCAGCTCACCTCCACAGAACTACTACTGTCTCTTGCATTAATCAAAATGTGATTAAGAGTTAGTTGAGGAGCGAGTGCTTCATACGAAACTGATGACTTATTCGGGGTGATGATCTCTTCAGCACTAACTCGATCGGTCCATCGAACACTTGTGGCAGAGTCTGTTTGATACGGTGGTTGCATAGTGGTTGGTTTCCGCCGAACATGCACATATTTACCTAACTTTTTATCGAACTGATACTTTCGACGATGTTTCAGTATTTTTTTATAGTAATGAGTTTGTTCTTTTGCTGCTGGTGATTCGGCTGTTGTTGTTGAAGTTGACACTGAGGCGGGTGTTGATGGAGGTGAAGAGGAGACTGTAATACAAGAGTAGATCGTTTGATGCAAATTATGCAGAGGACTTTTTACTGGTTAATTTGCTGACCTAATAGCGGCGTCGTTGACGTTGTAACAGTCAAGTTAGACGAGTCCATTACTGCAGGATTGACCATTACTGCAGAGTTTTTGATCGGCGTTGGCTGAAATGCAAATAGGAATTTCTTAATCAATGCCTTTGATTTTTATTAATAAAGGTCTGCAAATGAATATTTCCTGCTTCATTTTCTTTCGCATTATTCATAAATACGATCATGCACACTTGATGAATTGTCACGGCTCTATATGGCTCTATCTGCTGGTTCTCAGTAAGAACCACTGATGGAAATGAATAAGTGAGCTTGTGGATGCATCCGCATGGATGGTTAATAAGGTACAAGAGAGGTGGATATTACGAGGAACGATGACATTTCTGAAAATGCTTATTCACTCTAAAATGTACTTCAGTGACACAAAAAGTGCGTGATTCACATAAATGATCGGCATAGTGCTGAAAGCTCACGAATATCACTTTATGTGTCAAACTGCATCCATCAAATTCAAATCAGCAATTTCCATAGGACAATTTCTATACTGACGAATTTTATAGCAGAGCACATTGACAGTACCATGTCATTACAGAGGAAATATCAAACAACCGCAATATCAAACAAAATGTACTCTTAACATGCGGACAATTACGACTCACTCATCGCGAAGATTATCCTCTAACAAAGTGGTTCTCATAGAGGGTGAAATTACCCATCGTAGGTAATTTGGATGTGTTAAGGGGAAACGGAGGGGGTGGGGAAACTAGCATTTCGTGCAGTTGTTATTTTATGATAGGAATGCCATTGTGATGGTGGTTTTTAACTCGGGTATGTAAATGCGGTTAGTTGATGGCAACACTCTTCATTCTCCTATTTTCTGAGTATCATTAGCTCGTTCGGGTCTAACAGGGTTTTCATTCTTTTCCTTGCTGTTACAATCGCTCTCATAGCTTTTATCACCAAAAGTTTTCTCTTTTGATAATTTCTCATTCCTTTCACTCAACAATTAAAATCAAATTCTCATTCTATCAAATATACTCTATAATTGATCATTC